TCGAAGTTCGAAGTCAAGGAGGGAAGAGAGAGAGAGAGAGAGAGAGAGAGAGAGAGAGAGAAGGGGGGGGGACTGTGCCAAGCTGTCCATTATGTGACTCTGACACGTGCTACGTTTCTTTTTTGCCTTTTGCCTTCCTGGAAATGTTCCAAGATGCACGCCAGGCATTATGGCTCTCATGGCAATGCTAGTCCCGACAAGTCCCCCACCCGAAGAGCAACTGCCAAGCAGATTGAATGCTGCTGATTGTTTCATCATTCATACAATGCAAAACCCCTGCTTCTTAACATCAGTGGCACTCCTATTGTTGTTGGAGGCGCCTTCCAACAACTTCCCCGGGCCAATCATCAATGACATCATCCGACCCCACCAACTCAACAACAAGCGCATGTCATTGATGATTGGCCCGGGGAAGTGGGATACATGCAAGATCGATTGATCGCAAACCTGAGAGAACTCACCCACACGCGCATGCACTTGCGCACATAGAGTCATGTTCGGGGGACGAAGGTAGTTTTTTTCTTTTTTTTGCTGTCGAGTTTTATCATGTTTTATTTCTCATTTTATTTGTTTTGGTGTTTGGTTTTCTGCGGTTGAGTTGCGCTTTTGGCTTTTCACTCTTGATCGTTTCCCCCGGGACCATGTGGGACTATCTGGGTCCCTGTTTTCGGTTCTTTATGTGGTGGTCCACATGCTCCTCTCTGTCACTGATGTGCGCCGTGGGTCGTAAAAGATGCGCAATGCCCAACGATGTTCTTTGGTTCGGAATCTCAGATGTTCTTTATGTAATATTTTTTGCTGTAGGAAATTTTATCCCTTCCACAGGACATGATTCAAATTTCGATCTTTTCAATTCGAACTTCAAACTTCAAAGACATTTCCAATTGATTAATGGAGCAGGCATTTTCGATTGATTAGTATATGGAGAAGGCATAAAAAAAAATAAAAAATTAAACAAAACCGGGAACCGGGCCCGGTGTCCCTTATATTACAAAGCCAGGAAACGGGAATTGCCATCCTAGGGCATATACTCACACAACCGAATCTTGCTGACTGAAATTGGAATCTGGCTGTAAATGCGATGCAGTACATCCAGGGAAATTCAATTGTGAATATACAATTTTATTCATGATAGCTCCATGTTTGGCAATACAAGCTGCACCTCCTGTAATTCTCATCCTTCTCTTTATTTTTTTGTTTTTCGTTTTTGTTTTGACGTTTTCCCAGCCTCCCTGTTTTCTTTTTTGTTTTCCCAGCCTCCCTGTATTCTTTCCTGTCCATTTTTTTTATGTCTGTTTTCTTTTTGTTTCATTCTCCCCCTCGATAGCATAGTTTGGTCTCTTGTCGATGTCCGTTCCCGCTTTTCTCTTTGATCGCAGAAGTATTGGGCCTCGGTCCACTACACAACACTGTGCATGTTTCTGGAGGTCATAGTTGTCCCGATGCAGGCAAGATGTTGGTCTCCCCCGAATGCACCTGGTCCGGAAAGGAGTCCGAATGCATGTAGAATGTTGAGCAGTGGAGCAAGGCCAATTGCCGCGTGTGTGTGTGTGTATGCATGGATGTGGGATTTCCAAGTGGGAAATGTTTTGAAAGAACAACGAACAGTAATAAATGAAGTCTTTTTGTATTTTGTTTTGGCATGGATTTCGGACATTGCAGGCCTCATGGACAGCACGCTGTTGTCCTCTTCGAGGATGCCGACAAGCACTTAGGAACGATTCATACGGAGAGGGAGGAGTCGAGCCACACGAACAATAGCAGCGCTCATCAGATCTACCTGACTTTCCCAGCAGACAGCACATTCACGGAAGATGATTTGTCCGAGTACTTCAGGTATGTTCTTGTCAACCTCTCTCTCTCTCTCTCTCTCTCTCTCTCTCTCTCTCTCTCTCTCTCTCTCTCTCTCTCTCTCTCTCTCTC